GTGTTAAAATAATTCAGCCCGCGAACTACACCAGTTAAAAAGCTGAGATTTCGGGAGCATAATATGAAACATTTACGGTCCATAAATTTGGAATCCCTGTCAAGTTAGAAAGTGGAAAGAAATTCAGGTCCATTTACCAGGTTGGAATTCAATAAAAACTCATATTTGCCTCACATTCAAACCCGGCCAGCTTTAAACATAGAAATAACAAACTGAGAGTCTTGAAATATCAAAATTTTCTGGATAATTTACGATGTTTATTCACGGAAAACACATAAATTCTTCAAGTTCGTCTTAATCCCCTAATTAAGGTTAGTCTGGACCAGCACCAGTATTTTTTCTTTTTCTTTTTTACGCTACACTGGTTCAAGGCTTTTGCACGTTATTTTGCGAAAGATGTGTTTTAGTGTGCTATGCCAATGTTTGAAAATGGCTGAAGCTTTCCTGAATAACGCTTCTGGCCTGCACCTCCATTTCTTAATAGACAAAGTTAGGCAAGACTGGAAAAGTGCCAAATAACACTGCATAGCAAATGACTCTAAAAAAGCGAATGGCTCTATAACCTCACGTGTCAGGAGGTAAAGCAACCTCTGTTTGGCCTAGAAAAAAGAAACATGTGCCATAAAAGCAGAAAACACCTCCGGGAGCAATATAAGGTAAGGTGGATAAGAGAGACCCAAAATAGAGAATAAGGAAGAAACTGCCAACTGTGTCAATGACGAGAAGAAAGGCGAGAATGGGGTAACAACAGCTAAAAACTAATCAACGAAAATGCAATACACATAAAAAATGGATTTGAAATGAACCTTATGTAGATAGCGATATTTAAGTATACTTGAGGACAGCCTGTTAAAAACCAAGGAAGCGTTGGGGTAAGTCGGTTCTTCATTTTCCGTTTCTATTTTCTTAATTAAATCCTTATCATCGGTACTAGTCGAGGATCGACGACTTTGATGAGCCTTCATGTGACGTCCTGAAATTGCATTTTTAAATAGTGTAATCAGTGATAACTCGATCAAATAATTTGTTTGACACGAAAGAAATTATAGCTATTGATACAACCTTCCATCAATCAAAACTAAAGAATAATTGTACCAGTTGTTGTAAAAAACTATCTCTTAAATAGAATACACGGATGGATTGGGATTATGACTCTCACAGTGATGTTAATTGAGACGATCTCGTTCATCTATACTCCCGCTGCGAAGACAGAGGTTTTGCTAAGCATCACAGATCAATAGCTGAAAGGATTTTTCAATCTAAGAATAATGCAACAAGCACTGGTATCACACGTATTTTCTAGAAAATTTACCTCGGCTAAGGCTACGCGAAGGTTTAACACGGTTGCAGGCGCTAAGGCTTGTCGCTCCGCTCTGAAAAGATTTTAATCATCTTCAAAACAATTTTCTTGAACGGATTACTACATGAAGGCAAAGAAAGGGGGTTATAATGTAAGGAAGTTGGGCAAAAGGACTCGTTTCATCGTGCAAGCACGACAGTTTTTGATGTTAGCACGATTTCTTAAATTCTTAAGCATTATCAATAAGTTATAACATAACTTATAATATAACTTATTAATAATACTTGTGCACTTCACGAACGCAGCTTAGGGTCAAAGAACCTAGCACAGCTTTTCCTAGCTTGTGACAGAATCTTACTAACATTACTATACTGATTATTCGAAGGGTCTTGGTGTTTCTGAAACTGATGGGAAACAATGATTTTCTGCGCACTTTATTAAAAATGACACCTCTTGTACTACTAATAACAGCTCGCACCACTAAAACTGTTGGGAGATATGAATTTTTTTGGACAAACACTGCGAGTTGGAAATGAATTTGTTATGACCTTTCAATAGGTTAGTAGAAGAACAAAGACAAAATTTAGCCTGCAGTTCGCTTCCAGAACTAATCTGGAGCTTTGTTTCCTTAGCTTCCGATCCTTCGTGTTTTGGAGTTAGTCATATCCGAACCGGAGAGCAGCGTATCCGTAACGCATTTTTGCACAAGTCAAATAAATAGAAGTTCATAAGGCTTGAACCTACTCGTATCCTGCGGCATATCTCGATTTTCTCTGCAGCATCTAGTTTGCGCTGTAAATCGGCGTACTTCTGCAGCTCGGCTTCACGATTTCGAAGTATTTTGTCAATCGTCACATGATGGCGTGTACGTGATACCCCGTCACCCAAATCGTCCTCGTTTTCTTCAAGCTAAAGAGACTGATGTGACCAGACGCATTAAAGAAAGCTTTTTTAAATTTCTAAATTGCTTTTTTTTATACACATATGGGAAAATCGCATAGCTGTGAAGAAATGGCAAGGGATACAGACACGCGAGAGGTAAATAGTGGCATTCCGAGTAAGCCAATAAAACACAAAATGCGTATACAAAATGTAGGGAGCGAGGAAACAAAAAGAAGGAAAATAGCCTTTTTCTGAATCAGAATAATGCTTCTATCCAAAATTGCTCCAACTATCCTTCGATGGAATTCCGCCTAGGCCGGTAAACAATTAGCTAACAAACCAGCACCGCTTTTGGGCTTAGGAGGAGTTAGAAAGCTCTGGCTTTTCTGACTTTTAGAAAATTTTATCATCGAAACTGTAGAGTGGAGCCTGATCTAAAATTTGCTTTTTAACCGTATTTCCAGGATTTAGCAGCTCGCAACGCATCAAACAGGCAATGGAGGCATGTCGCACAGAAGCAAAAGTCCTGGCGTAGCTTCGCCTGAAGTATGTGAACATTTAAGTAACGCAATTGACAGAGGATTTCCACAGCAGCTTTTCGAGCGGTCTTGGTTCTCCTGTTAAGAAGGATTTTGAAGTAACACAGTTTTTTAATTTTGATTGTCTGTGAACAAGAAGAATTCATTGTTTTTATTGCATGAACAAAAAAAAAATCACAACGTAATTTCAAGATAGATAAATTAGCAGCGCGCACCAGGAAAGCTGTTGCGATCACGCGCTTTGTACATTTCATCTAGTGGATGTTTGCTGTTAAAAATATTCAATGCCTTATTGCATAGCACGTGCGGGAATGCATTTGAAACACACATACGCACACAGACAAGGCTTCGACAATGTGCGTTCTGTGCAACTGTTACAGCACAAAATGTTTTAAAACTGATTTTATGATGAATTTGGGTTTAAACATCATAAATTTATGAAAAAACTGAAAAAAAAGACCGAGGAACTCACCAAGCCGATATTTCTGAGATGTCGTTGCATGTGCGGCAGCGCGAAATATTGTCGCAAATGGACATCGTACAGTGGATTATAGTTATCCAGCAAATCGTCATTCATTGCATTGGCTGAAGTCATCGATCAGAATTCACTGTCAATCAATACTTGCTGTTCAAATCTGTGGAAGGACAAGTTTACTCAGCAGTTCTTTTTAGCTGTGGCACATCCAGAGAGATTCGTTTCATAACATCTGTGAACTGGATAGTGTTCGAAATACTCGAGACTGGATTGTCAGCCACGAACCGGGCGACGCAGAGTTTCGTTTGTTTTCGTAAAATGCTAGTCGGCTGCTTCTAAAATATTTCAGGATCTGTCCTCATACCTTCCTGCTTTGACACGTATCGCTTCTGAAAATCATATAACGGTGATGGAAGTGTCAGGATGATTAATTGTCCGGTAAGGCTTCAGCCAATTTCAAGCTTAGCAACCGACAAAAAAGTGACGCGATCAGAATGTTGATGTTGAGAGAGAGGGCCGGCTGCAGCGATAATTACATTTAAAGGAAATTAATTGGCCTGACGAAAGAAAGAGATTCAGTAAATTATTAAAGAATTGTAGCAAAACCAGACTTAATACAGTAAATCATTTCCGATTTTGCAAACGAAATATAGAGATAAACTTGGATGGCTATTCACTGGATCACCAAAACAACTTAGCTTCACAAAGTTTTGTCACTGCACATTTATAGACAATTAATGATGGGCTTCCCACAATAGACCCCTCATTGTTTCCAACTGCAGAACAGGTCTGAGCATCAATGATATGCATCCTAACTGCTTATTACACACTGATAAGTAGTCATCACGCTTTGATAAATGTTAAAGCAATGTCTAAGACGGGCTGCGCCGTGTGGAGCAGCCCTGAGTTAGATCCGAAGTCAAAGATAGGCTTGAGAAAGGCCCGACTTTAGGCAATATTTAAGACAAGCTTCAGTTATTAAATGGCTCTTAAAACGGGCCTGAGTTGTTGAGTAATTTTTATGCGTTTTGTGCTGTGTAACAGCGTTACAAAATGCATATTGTCACGGGATTGTCTGTGTG